GAAGAAAAAAAAGAAATTGGTTGCATTGGCATCAAATGGACCAATCGTATTTTTTGCAGATGTGACGCGCATTAACACACAACCAGCTAACAGGATTACAGATAAGACGCGTATTAACACACAACCAGCTAACAGGATTACAGATAAGACGCGTATTAACACACAACCAGCTAACAGGATTACAGATAAGAGGCGCATTAACACACAACCAGCTAACAGGATTACAGATAAGACGCGTATTAACACACAACCAGCTAACAGGATTACAGATAAGAGGCGCATTAACACACAACCAGCTAACAGGATTACAGATAACACGCGTATTAACACACAACCAGCGAAGAGGAAAACCCGAAAGAAGATAATCTAACCCAGTTCTCATACAGAAGTGTAACGCTAACAACATATTATCGTTAGACAGGAATCGACGTTTGCTGATGAATGAAATGACGACAAACAAACAAACATTTGGTACTTTGTAAGACGGCTAAAGACAGTTGGTACTTAACCTTTCCGGAACGTTCATATTACGTCTTTAGCAAGCTATATTAAAGAGGGTAGAATATAAGATAAACTTTTTTTTTAAAAGAGGAATTCAAATACAAAGTAAGATGAATTAAATATATTTAAATTTTTAAGATGGATTTAGAGCGCAAGATACACGTCACAATATTACAGTTGTTTTTGTTGTTGTTGTGGTTGTTTTTGCGAAATTGGGTTTGTTTGTTTTGAATTTCTCGCATAGCTACTCGAGGGTTATCTTTTCGGTATATTGTTTAATGTACGATAAAATAGAGTTCTTGACTTTATGATTCTTCTAACTACTAATATACGTTTAAAAAGTATTGTTTCTTTGTTTGGTCTTTTAAAGTACAAGTGCTGTGCCCACCGCAGGGATCGAACCCGAAACTTAGCGGTATAAGCCATCAAACTTAAAATCTTAAATCTTGGCTCTTTGGTACATTTAACGTTAATGTAAATTGAAAAAAATTATATATCTGACTTTTGACTTATTTTTAAAACATCCTTGATTTAGGGCACATCTAACTTTTGGATTTAGTGTGAATGACATTGATTTAGGGCACATCTAACTTTAAGATTTAGTGTGACTGATATTGATTTAGGGCACATCTAACTTAAAGATTTAGTGTGACTGATATTGATTTAGGGCACATCTAACTTAAAGATTTAGTGTGACTGATATTGATTTAGGGCAC